CACACGATTTACGTGGAAACCCCAAATCGGGGAGAAAACCACGGCCGCTCAACAACGGCTCCCAAACTTCCACTAATCACCAAGAATCAAGTGGGTACAACAAGTTCTCCTCTCTAGTAAACACTAGAGGCATACACAATCATCAAGGAGCAACCTTGGAACAACAAGAATCAACAATTCACCATAAAATGGAGTAAAACCTCCCAAAAACGCAGGTCTGAAAACGCAGCTAGAAAACAACCTTCCGGGCATCAAAATGAGAATCTGACCGTTGGATTTGAAGAGGAGTATGTGAGGAACAACATACTAAAATTTGAGCACGATCCGACTTCTTTTGACCTTCGATCCGGAGGTGAAAAATTGCTGCTGTAGAGGGTGGCGGAAATCTTCTTTTTCTTCTTTTTCCCTGCGTTTTGCTACTGCCACCCCCATTTCTTCTCTCTTCATACTCCCTTATCTCTTTTCTTTTTTTTTTCTTTAGTTAGTAGCCACACACAACATAGGAGAATGGGCCACCAAAAAAAAATAATTGGGCTAAAACTTTACACACAAAAATAAGCCCAAATATAAAAGAGAGATTTAAAGTGTTGTCCAATTAAAAATTGGACACTTCCTCCATGTAGGAGGGATATTTCCCAACAAATCTCCCCCTCACTCCTACATGGAGTGAGTAAACAAACCAGCCTTCTCTCGACAAAACACGAGTTTCTCCTTCGGCATAGTCTTGGTCAACATATCCGAGCAATTCTCACTTGTGTGAATCTTCACAAGTTCAAAAGACTTATCCTCCACGGCTTCTCGAATCCAATGATACCTTCTCTTAATGTGTTTGGTTCGAGAATGAAACGCGGCATTCTTGGCAAGGTGGATGGCACTTTGAGAATCACAATGAAGAAGATAATTTTCTTGTTCCAAACCAAGCTCCTCAAGAAAATTCCTCAACCATAACAACTCCTTGCCTGCCTCAACAGCTGCTATATATTCTGCCTCAGTAGTGGACAAAGCAACACACTTCTGCAATCTTGATTGCCATGAAACTGCAGCTCCAGCAAATGTCATCAAGTATCCCGAGGTAGACTTTGCAGTATCAACATCTCCAGACATATCTGCATCTGTGTACCCATCTAACATAGGTTGTCCAATACCAAAACATAAACAAACTTTGGAGGTACCTCTAAGATATCTGAGAATCCATTTCACGGCTGCCTAGTGCTCTTTACCCGGATTCGACATGTAGCGGCTAACAACCCCAACTGAATGTGCAATATCTGGCCTCGTACATACCATGGCATACATCAAACTACCCACGGCTGAAGCATAAGGCACATTGTTCATCTCTTTCTTTTCTTTCTCACTTGTAGGGCAATGGTCCATACTCAACTTCATGTGGCCTGCAAGTGGAGAACT